AGCTCCCCCTTTCCTGCCTGCCTCTGCCACACGCCAGGCGTCAGCAGAGCTGCGAGCTTCCCGGCCACAGTGCCGGGGAGGGCAGGAAGGCAGCTAAAGGAGGCTCACAAGGGGGACAGCCTGCGGCTCCAGCATGGCCCCTGGCCGGCTCCCTGGCCGCAGGGGAACTCCCTGTGAGAGTTGGCAGCTCCGCCGTAGGAAACGCGCCTGGCTATTCTATTGGGCTATTGAGCACAAAGGCTGCGGGGAGCACCGGTCAGGTCTATTTCTAGTCCAAGGTCACGTGACTCAGGAAGTTTGCAAGGAGTCGGTTTCTCACCGTGCTCCTCCCCTGGGATGATGGGGGCGGATGGGGCCCCTCCGCTCTCCCAGGTCTGCTGTCGTGGGGGCGGTTCACACTGCTGGTGCCTGCGCGTGTGAACGGCGTGCGGAGCAGTGAGGGGGGGAGGGGCAAGTGTGACGGCAACCCAGCCAAGGGAGCAGTAATTTCCTGCCCCGTCCTGTTTACTTGATCACCCAATGGGGCCAGCAAATCAGTGGCGACACCAGGCTGGCCCGCACTTTGGAGAAGCCCCGGCATCGCTGCCCGGGTGGGTGCAGGTGTCCGCTGCTGGCTCTGGGGAGGGACGAGCTGGCTCCCGCAAGGGCTGCCCTTCGGGCTGGGTTGGCTTTGACTGGCGCTTGTCCTCTTGCAGGGAGCCTGGTGGATTTCCTCAAGACCTCGGAAGGAGTCAAACTCACCATTAACAAACTGCTGGACATGGCAGCGCAGGTGGGGGGAGAACTGGGCAGGGGGGGAGGGGATGCCAGGCTGGGCACCAGCTGGCAGAGAATCGGGGCTCGGAGCACAAGTGATGGGAGCAGGTCTCAGCCCATCCGGCCTGTGACACGGGGGTGGGGATTGAGCGGCACAGGCTGAGCTGGGGGGGCAGGACAGGGATGGCAGGGTTGGATTTGAGGGGCACTGGCTGAGCTGGGGGGTAGGAGGCAGGAATAGCAGGGGGCTGCTGGTTGGATTTGGGGCATAGACTGTGCTGGGGCAGGGCAGGACAGGACTAGCAAAGGGCTGCTGGTGAGAAGCGAGGCACAGGGCAGCCCTGGGGTGGAAGGTGTCTGTCCAGTACTTGCCTGCCCTGCGCTGGAGATAACCCCAGCGGCCATCGCTCCCTTGGATTCCCTGTCAGTAACACCGCCCCCCCCCCCATATCCAAAGGGGTAGGAATTTCCCCTCTGTGATTTTCCTTTTCCTCTGCAATCCGTGCCCAGCTCCGGCAGCCACCAGCCCCTGCAGCCCCCTGGCCGTGACATCTGCAGATGTTTGACTGGGGGTGGAACTTGAGATAGCGGAAGCCTCAGTCTCACCCCCTCTGCCACGTGCAACTGCCCCATGCCACGTGCAATTGCCCCATGCCACGTGTAACTGCCCCATGCTACGTGTAACTGCCCTGTGCCATGTGTGACTGCCCCATGCTACGTGCAATTGCCCCATGCCACGTGCATCTGCCCCCGTGCTACATATAACTGCCCCCGTGCCATGTGTAACTACCCCCTCTGCTGCGCCTCCCCAGATTGCAGAGGGAATGGCCTTCATCGAGGAGAAGAATTACATCCACCGTGACCTGCGAGCTGCCAACATCCTGGTGTCTGACACCCTCTGCTGCAAGATCGCTGACTTCGGGCTGGCTCGGCTCATCGAGGACAACGAGTACACGGCACGGGAGGGTGCGTCCAACGCCTCCCCCGGCCCACCGCAGCCCCCCTCTCCAGGAAGCAGGGTGGTGGGGGTCCCGGGCAGAGCGGGGCCCTGCCAGCAGTTGTCTGAGCTCCTACAGGACAGTGGGGCTGGTTTTGTTGTGCCTGGGGAGGGCTTGCAGGGACAATTGCCCCAGCCCCGCTCAGCCTGATCCTCCCCAGCCATGGTAGGGATGGATCCTTCCCCACGGAACCACCCGCTGCTGCCGACTGCCCCTGGCTGCCCCCGCCTCTCCTGGCTGATCCGCGGGGCGGGTGGATTCCCCTGCTCGCCCTGGGGCAGCAGGATGGAGGGGGTGTATCTGCAGGGCTGGAAGAAGCCGCTCAGCCCCCCCACAAGGAGGCTCCGTCCCAGGGGGGCAGGTTTGAAACAGGCTCCTGCAGCCCTGAGTGCAACCCCCTCCAGAGCGAACCCACCTCTCCCCATCCACAGCAATGGGATTTTATTCCATTTGCCCTGGAAACCCTCTGCCCTGCCAGGACGCCAGGGACCCTCGGGCCTTTCTGGGGAGCCAGGGTTCTGGGCCACGTGGCTGGGGGTGGCTGCGTTCCAGTGAGGCGGCTGGGTGGGGCCCGGCGGCAGCGAGAAGGGCGGGAGGCTACACAGCAACGGCCAGCCTGCTCCCCCACCCCACCCCACCCCCACCGCCCGTGCAGTGCTGGAAACTCGAGCTCGCGGCAGGATGCCGGCCTGACGCATCTCTCTGCCTCTCCCCCCTCCGGCGCGGGGCAGGTCGGCCGCCGGCTCAGCGCAGACACCCACAGCCTCCCAGTCACAGCCCGGCCACTGGAGGAAGTGGGAGCCCACCACAAGCAGCCTGCCGCCCCATGCGCCGGAGCTCTTTGCAGCTCCGGCTGAGCCCGCGGTGCAGAGGGAGCTGTTGTGCAGCCCTGAGCTGGGACGGGGGAGGCGGGTGTGGTCCTGCAGAGGCCAGCGGGGACCTGGAGCCGCCTTGGCGGGATGCAGGAGCTGGAGAGCAACGCTGGGTGGTGTCCCCTGTGGAGCCGGGAGCAGGGCTGAGGCCTTGCGCTGGCCAGGGTGGTATAACTGAGGGGTGAGGGGAACGGGGCTCGGGGTGCAGAGATTGTGCCCCACTCACAATTAGCTGGGGAGAGCGTCAGACCTCTCGGCCAGCCCCCCGCTGGGGGGGGGGGAGAGGACTCTCGGCCAGCCCCCGGCTGTGAGGGTGAGAGAGACTCCCCGTGCACGGTGGGATGGGGGCAGAAGGGGGCCCCTCTGGACACAGCCCCTCCTAGTGTGGGACAGGGGCGTGAGGAGCCCTGGGGGCGTAGGGGGTGAGAGGTCTAGAGGCAGACACTCCCAGGGTGAGAGCAGGTCCTTCCTGGGTGACGGACTCACCCGCTGCCCTGCCACAGGGGCTGGGGACTGGACTTGACCTCCCGAGGTCCCTTCCAGTCCTGCGATTCTTCAGTAGGGGACAGAGACACACGTGGAAAGAACAACCCGGCTGCTCCCTGTTCCCCCCACCCAGATCCCGCCCCTGGGAAGGCAGTAGGGTGACACAGCAAGAACCTTTCTAGAGCATCAGAGGGGGAGCCAAGTTCGTCCGTAACAGGGGCTGGGGACTGGACTTGACCTCCCGAGGTCCCTTCCAGTCCTGCGATTCTTCAGTAGGGGACAGAGACACACGTGGAAAGAACAACCCGGCTGCTCCCTGTTCCCCCCACCCAGATCCCGCCCCTGGGAAGGCAGTAGGGTGACACAGCAAGAACCTTTCTAGAGCATCAGAGGGGGAGCCAAGTTCGTCCGTAACAGGAAAAACTTAAACACCAACGACTAGTCTTGCAGCACCTTAGAGACTCACAAAACATGTCGCTGGGTTCATGAGCTTTCGTGGGCACAGCCCACTTCTTCAGAGGACTGGAGCATCTGACCCGCCTAATACTCCGGTCCTCTGAAGAAGTGAGTTGTGCCCTCAAGAGCTCATGAACCCAGCGACACGTTTTGTTAGTTGTTAAGGTGCTACTAGACTATTCCTTGTTTTTTAAGTTTTTCTTTCTTGCAACGCTGGTCCGGGCTGTAGGATTAGAGCCCTCTCTGGTGGCTAATGCAGGAACAGCCCACTCCAGAGGGGCAGTGTTAGCAGCCGTGCTAGGCTTGGGGGACCCCACTGGTTCTGTTGCTCAGGTCAGTTTCAGTAACTCTGCGGCCATGAGGCGATGGGCAGAGGACGCCGGGGGCTGCACGTCAGCTGTCTACGATGTGCGTCGCGAGCAGCGTTCTCCGCTCCAAAGCAGGTTTATACTCCAGGGCTACGTCTAGACTGACATGATTTTCTGCAAATGCTTGCGGAAAAGAGCATCTAGATTGGCACGGATGCTTTTCTGCAAAAGCACTTTTTGCAGAAAAGCGTCTGTGCCAATCTTGACGTGGTTTTGTGCAAGAAAGCCCCGATCGCCATTTTCGCTATCGGGGCTTTTTTGCGCAAAACAATACCGCGTTGTCTACACTGGCCCTCTTGCGCAAAAGCATTTTTTGCCCGAATGGGAGCAGCATAGTATTTCCGCAAGAACGCTGACAATCTTACATGAGATCGTCAGTGCTCTTGCGGAAATTCAAGCGGCCAGTGTAGACAGCTGGCAAGTTTTTCTGCAAAAGCAGCTGCTTT